GCCCGGCCGCCGGCCCACCTGGCGCAGCGCCGCCCTCGGAGCCCGCGCACCCGAGTACACCCGCGCACACCCGCGCACCCCGCGCACCCCGCGGCCGCAGGAGGGCCCAGAGCCACCTCCGCACCAACTCCTAGGGCCCGACCCGCCCTGGCGCCCGCGCTCCCGGGGCGGACTACCGGCCCTCCGCGCTCCCCGCCTGGCGATGGCCCCACTCGGATACTTCTTATTCCTCTGCAGCCTGAAGCAGGCGGTGGGCAGCTACCCAATCTGGTGGTGAGTGAGTCTTCCCTCTTTCGTTTCGGCCCCAATACGGCTCCCGAACAGCGGTTCCCTCGGGCAGGGCCCCCGCTGTGGCCCCAAGCCCGCACCCTACTCGTCCCGCCCTGCGCGCGGGCCGCAGGCGGGTTGTTTGTCTTGGCGGGCCCTTTTCGAGTTCGGGCAGGCGCTGGTACGCGGGTGGCGGAGCTTCCGGGGACACTGATTCCCTGGGCCTGGAGGAGGGGGGCAAGTGAAGGTCCCAGTTGACCCTGGCGTCGGACAGGGCAAGGAGTGGGCCTGGGAAAGGCGAAAAGAGAGTCGGCACAGATGACACTAACGCAGAGGCGATGGGCAGCCTAAGGCCAAAGACAGGCGACAGAAGAGCGTAAGCGAGAGGCAGCATAGGGAGACGGTGATTCTCCGGAGACTTTTTTTAAGGACCGTATCTTACACACTCACACACACACACACACACACACACACACACACGCTTTAAAACAAAGTCGGTAAGACAAGACCGAACAGCTCGGAGCAGCACAGTTACGTAAAAACAGCCGGGACCCGCGGGGAGTGCCGGGCCCGGCGGGGAGTGGCAGGGAGTCGGCGGCAGGGCGCACTGGGGCCCGCTTTCTGTCCTGCGCCTTCCTGGCCGCTATCCCGACGCAGGGGTCCCCAAGGGCCCTCTCTGCGAACCCCCTGCTTGGACCTCCCGGACAAGGAGGGGCTTCTAGAGAGAGAGGTAAGGAAAGGCAAGAGTAAAACATGGGGTTGAGGGCTCCTGACTGTGGGGTTCCAGGACCCTGCATCAGAGAGGATTGTGCTGCATCCTCCACCAGACAGGAAAGCACTGCGCCGAGACCCTCTTTGATCTGGCGATGGAAGTACAGATAAACCAGAGTCCCGAAGCGATTCACTCTGGAGCCTCCCGCGGCTTCTGCACATACCCTGGGGGGGGCGGGGGGGAGGAACTAGCACTATCTTTGGGACAGGTAATTCCGCAGAGCCCCAACAGACAAGGGTCACCCCAGCGCCGACGAAATGGCTCTCTGAGCTCCACAGAATTTTACGAACACCAGTGAGAGGAACGTGGGTGTCGAGGGTCAGGGCAGGCCACTGGTGGAGAACCAGAGTTGGAGAGATGCCTCCCCACAAACATGCACACATGCCCCCCCACACACACACACACAGGAACCCTCTCCGACGGCTTGCCTGGAATTATAATAATTATGCCGAGGGGAAGGGGGGAGACCGAGCAAGCCGAAGTACATTTAATCCGATAATAATTTTTCTCTTCGAGATGGTTCAGGAGAGCAGAATGGAGGCGCAGGGCTGTGAGCAGCCAGGTGGGGCGGGGCGGGGGAGGGGCCAGCCCGGGCCAGTCGAGGGTCCTGGGAAAGGCCACCGGGCGGCTGGGACGCGCTTCGACGACCCTTCACGAACTCTATATGCATCGCCGCGCGACACCTGCGGCACCCGGTGGCCTCACTGAGCGCTGGTTGCGGCGGGCGCACCTTGGGCGCGGGGACACTGACGCGCGTCCAGGCGGCCACAGGGAGCCAGGGGCAGCGCGTCCGAGAGAGCCCTGCGGGCTGCCCGCTCTCGCGCCAGCCTTCTAATTAGAACCCGCCGCCGCCGCATTCCTGGGCACAAGAGGAAGCTCTTTCGCCCCCGCGTCCCTCCCATAAAGAAGAGCCCTGTCACCAGTCTCCTGGCTCTTGAGCCCTGGGATCTTGATCCCTTCAGCCCTGAGGGTCCCTACCCTTGACGACTTCCAACACACTCCCACCCTTTGCACCTGGCCCATATGTGTTCCATCCTAATGGACCCTGAGACATCCTCAGGTGCAACCCGGGCATTCTCCGGTGAGTCGGAGGAGCATAGGAGAGTTGAGGTACCTGGTCGTCTCCCTACCCCATCATCACACATGGAGTCTAGAGGGACAGAGGGT